TGCGAGACCAAATGCAGCAAGGATTGTAAGTGTATGGGGTATTTCTATCATACGGATCGATCAAGGTGTTGGATCGCTTACGATTTGAAAACATTAACAAGAGTTGGGAACTCGACGAATTTGGCGTACATCAAAACACCCAAGTAGATGGTGTTTGAATCGCTCTACCTATTAATTATGTTTTATGTTCGAAGTTTATGTTTCTGTGGGTTGATGTAAATGGAATTAAGATTCTAAGAAATATGTATGAGTCAAAGAATGAAAGCAACCCAATGAAAAGGACGTATTTTTGTCTGTGTCTGAGATTCACGGAATTTGCGTCAATGAATGGACTGCAATATGTTCTTTAATAAATTACCGATTTGGTCCATATAGTTTTAAGATTTTCTTATATTTGGTCCCTGCAGTTTTTCTAATTCATTGACATCAAGAACAAATACATATAAACATCTATCTAACGACAGTTAAAATGCTCCGTTAAGTCAAGAGCATTTTTGTCATTTTTCAATTCTTTTCTTTTTTGATTTCAACAACCTCTCTATCCTAACCTGCAACGACCACTTAGAGATCTCTCTGCCATCTCTAATTCAGATTCTTCTGTTTTCTCATACATTCATCCAATCTCAAAACAAAAACCAAATAACTTTAACAATATCTAATAACATTTCATCAAGACTCATAAAACCACCACCGATCAAACTTCAACGAAGATCAGAAACCACTACACCACCAGTATATCTGCTTTCAATTCAAGACAAAGAAAATGTGCATTTATATGCATGTATGCTTCAAAATGATCATACAAAACTTCATCACACATTAATAAAGAAACATTTAAGAAACCTAATTTGATAGGGAAGAGAAGAGGATCGATCTGGAGGATGATTAGTTGCTTCCAAAAGGTATAATTAAGAGATGAGGTGAAACAAAGATTATTTAAGCTAGTTCATAATAAACTGATATTAATGTCTTTTGCGTTGTATATTTTGCTACTGTGAAGGTTTGAAGGGTTGGCTTCTGTTCGAGAGGTCACAATGATCTTCGAGTCCATGTTTGATGGTCTGTTGGCTCACTATGGGGATGTCTCTAAGTCTCACCTCAAGCTCATGTTCGATTGTTTTTTAGGATTATATTTTAATCAATACAAACTATTTGTTTCAAAAAAAAATTTACTTAATACAAACAATGTGTATGCTTGTTAGTTTAGATGGGAGCCTCATATGGAGGTAGACATTTTCTCTGCCTTCTGTGGTACCTTAGGTTTGAGGACCTGATGAGGGATGCCAGAAAATGGTCTCAGAGAAGTGTAAATTATATATAATATTACATATGATATGTGTAAATTATGTTTTGAAATACATGTGATCTTATACATTTTAAATATGTTTTGCTACACATCACATGTGACTCTATTTTTTCATTATTTTTCTTTTTCTATGTTTAATGTAAATCCTTGTTTTTCAAATTTTAAATCATATATGATTAGAAAAAAAAATTAAAAAAATTAGTTAATAGTAAATCACAAATGATTTTGATGAGGATTGTAAATTTTAAAATATATTGTTTTAAATAAAAAATGAATTCTTTAAATAAAAATTAAATACTACATACATTTTTTTTATTT